AAAACCGCGGAATTATTTAATTTTTTTATTAGGGAAAAAAGTGCCTCTTATTTGTTAACAATTGAATACATACAACTAGATTTGAAAAAAATATATATTTTTTTTTAACTAGAGGATACTTGGTGTCCCTTTGAAGAAAATGAGCCCAAAAAGAATATTTTCGTCATAACCCTGCTCCCGGAATAGTAATTTGAAAATGGGCCTTCTTTTTGCAAAAATGGGATAATGGAATTTTGCAAAAACTATTTGGCCGATCGAGCCCAACTTTTGCACATCTCTTAAAGATATAAAAACTTACATTTTGGGAAAGTTTGGTAAGATTTTATTAATTATTTAAAAAGTTATTCACAATTAAAGAAAAGGTACTTTTTCCGTTTAATTTTGCAATAAATTTTTTGTTTATAAAGCAATTTTAACTCATAAAGTCTCATTTTAAAGATGAGTTTCTCTAGCTCAAACCGTCTGTTGAACTTTTTTGCCAAGATTAATAGTTTATTTACAATAACGCGTAGAACGAAAAATGAGTTTTTGGCCTATTTGTTGATAAAAAACAATGACGCTATATTTTTTTCATGTATTATCATTCCCAAGACTTTCCAACAATAAAATCACGACCAGTAATTTTCACGATTTCTCGATGATTTTTCACCTTTATTTCTTGGTCTACTGTGCGATTGACTACATTTGTATAATTTCATCAAATCCATTTTATTAAATCTCATCCGTCACTTCTACACATTATAAATTTTGTAATTTTAAACTTTCTATTAAGTACCAACATGTAATGATCAAATTCTCATTATTTTTGTGCGATTCTTTATTCAACGTTATTTCCACAACATAATTTTAACTGTGTCACATCGTAAATTGTTTAATCGTTCTCGACTAAGCCTTACGTTGATTTTTTTTTTTAGTGCAACTACATATTAGAAGACGACAATCTAATTGCGCTCGAACAGCCTCAGTACGACATTATACTGTGCCTGAGCATCACGAAGTGGATCCATTTGAATTGGGGCGACAACGGCATCAAGCAGGCTTTCAGGCGGATGTACGCCCAGTTACGTCCCGGGGGCAAGCTGGTCGTCGAACCTCAGAACTGGGCCAGTTACAAAAGCAAACGGAAGTTAACGGTAAGAACAAGGAATCGAACTTCGCAACAGAACCATATCCAAATTACAGTAAACTCAAAAAAAAAAAAAAAACGTCTGTACGTCCGAGAACATGGCGCCCAACGTGGGACGAACAAACAACTAAATATTTTCTCATTTTACTAAATTTCTTTTTAAAAACGTGTTCTATTATTAGTACTCGTATAACTAAATTTATGGTATCAAAGAACATTGTTTGAATTAACTTAATACTTTTAAAACGGAATAAAAAAAAATAGGAAAACCAACAGTAGAATACAGGTTTAAAAATAATTAATAATAATTTTTATGTTAAAATTTCAGGAAACCATCTACAAGAACTACAACGCCATAGAATTCTTCCCGGAGAAGTTCCGGGAGTACCTGCTCTCGGCGGCGGTGGGCTTCGCCAAGAGCGAGATCCTCGGCTATCCCCCGCACCTGTCCAGGGGCTTCAGGAGGCCCATCCAGGTGTTCACGAAGAGCACCATGTTCCCCAGCGAGCGGATAGAGGCCACCCCGAACAGCATCACGCCGAACGTTGGGGTCTACAACGACTCCCTCTACCAGAAAATTTGCAAGACTGAGAAGTATGAATCTCGAACACAGCCAGAGATCTGCGTCGAGCACGTCTACACCGACATCATTGAGAATAGGTATTGCGGGCGCGAGGAGGACATTACGGAAGTCAATGAGTGCATCGAGGAGGATTTGAGGAATACGGAGGAGATGGAGTGCAGCACTACTAGTCAGGCGGGGGCGGGACGGGCGAACGGGGAGGAGGACAAAGTGAAGGGGCTGGAGAAGAGCGGGAAGGCGGGCGAAGTAAACGGGCTAGAGCCGGACGATAAAGGTGACGTTTCCGGTGAAAATACTTAGGTTTAGGTGTAAAATGGACTCGGTAATTTTTTTTTTTTGTAAATATTGTTTAAATATTTTTTATTTCAATTAACTGTTAACGAATTGCTTTTGTAAATATGTATATGCCGAAAGTATTACATTTTCTTTAAAAAGTGCGATTTTTATTTCGGGAAGGTTCTAACGAGTGATCGTTTCCGTTTTAAAATCTTCACTGTTACTCAACGCCTAGATTTTTAATATGGCCAAGCTGACAGAGAGCGACCTGCTATTTCACAGGTTCTATGAAAGCAATGCTTATGTTGCTACTAAGCGAAACAATTTTCAACTAATAATACTATGGGCAACAACTACTCTGTGGACTAATCTCCTGACCAGCGTTGAATGGGGTAGTTTCAACCATTAAGAAAATGGAAATATTAATTTCTCAGAAATATACATTTTATTTATGTTTTTGGTGAAAGAATTCATTATTGTAAATCTTGAAGTTTTTTTTTACTTTAAGGGGGCTCTATAGCAAATAGGCAACCAGCAATACATTTTTATCGATTTGTATAGTACATAGTTTGTCTAAATATGAATTAATTCACAAATAATAGACTTCCCCTCATTTTAACGCAGATTTTCTACAGGATGTAAGAAGTTTGACTGCCATTACTTCAGCATGATATAGAGCAATCATAAATGAACAAAAAAAGTTGTATATTACTGGGGGGTAAGGTTAAAAGTTTTCAAAATATGTTGAGTTTTAATATTGGGGAATTTCATCACAACGTGACAACAGCGTTTAACCTAACGCTACACAGCTGATGCACACCATGTGAATGCAGCAGACTTGTCCTACGGAAAAAATGTAAGCTATTATTGTGAAACATTTAGTAAATTTCAAGACAATTGTTTTCCAGTTTTTAAATAAATAAAATAGAATGTATCGATTTTGCAGTACGAAGATAGTGTTGTGCTTAAATTTTAGCTCGAATTTTAGTAATTATGAATCTCTTAAAACAGGAACTTAAATTTTAATCAAATTATGAATTTGAAAAATATGTAATTAAAATACCCACAGATTCACGTCGTCCAAATAATCATACGTATTAAAAATAATTTAGGGACTTAACCAAAAAGCAAAATTCAGTAATTTTTAAAGGCACAACTACAAAACAAACTACAACATATGCTCAAAACGTCCACCACCAAAGAAAGGAGAAAGGAGAAAAGGAAATAGTGGTACGCAAAAAACACTAACACGGTCGAATCCAGATACCAACTGAATTACGTATTGGTGGACAGCTTAGTGCCTCGTGTTAATCACTGTGCCGCACAGTAAATATTGGAAACAATTCGAACCACGTGTCAAAACTAATAGTACTGATTTTTTTTTATTCTTTCCGAAACTACCTGTACTATAAAGTTCCGGTGAGGTAATTGGAATATAGGCCTAGAATTTTTACAAAACGGCCGTGTAATCTCTAGCCTCAAATTCGATCATACGAAGTTCGACTAATTCGGTAAAAAAAAGAAATTATGTACTATAGGCTACCAAACAGAAAAAAAATCATAAACATTAAACATATTCCTAAATCATGANTCCTATAAATTTCAGTTAAAGTTATGCAAAAATATTGGTTGCACACTCAAAAGTACCAGTTTTATGGATTTATACTCACAGGTTTAGAAAAAATTGAGTATGTTCGTTTTAGGTTAAGATTTATAAATTTGAGGTTATGTTTTGAGTCTAGATCAACGTTGCCAGATTTTTTTTGCGCAAAGCGGGATTTTTTCGTCCAGAAATGGGACATACTAAGGGTTACCAGATCTATTTATCTATTTCATGACAGACGCAGAGTCATGAAGCATTTGTAAAAAAAAAATTCAGAATATCTGAAATTGTTTTCAAAGAAATTGATGTCTAAAAAAAAACGTAATCAGGAAATATATGCTTAATAACCGACCTGGAGAAAATAATTGATGCCTAAAAAAACAAAACAAGAGCAGGAAAAACGAGACAGCCTGTCCTGCGCGGGACATTCATTTTGGATTAAAAATTAGGACATCTGGCAACGCTGGTTTAGATTCATGATTTACGAAAGTGTTTAATGTTTATGATTTTTTTTTTGTTTGGCAGCCTTTAGTACATAATGTTCCTTTTTTTTTTCATTTTTAGATACCGAATATGTCAAACTTCGTATGATCGAGTTTGAGGCTAGAGATTACTCGGCCATTTTGAAAAAATTCTAGGCATATATTTCGATTACCTCACCGGAACTTTATAGTACAGGTAATTTCGGAAATAAAACAAAAAATCAGTACTATTTGCTTAGTTTTAACGCGTGGTTTGAATTTTTTCCAATATTTCCCACTGTGCGCCGTTGTCACATTGCTCGATATGAATTTTATCGAATTTTAAATTTATGACAACAATAATTATTTTTTAGAGCATAAAGAAATTTAAAAAAATGATAAA